CCCGAACCAGGTTCCTTCCGCTCCTTCCCTGTCACCCCGACGTCCCATCGCCGTCAAGCCCAGGGCTGCCGCGTTTCCCGCCTTGCCAACCGCTTTTCCAGTCCCCAAGCCCCACTTACCCCGCCGCGCGGCAGCCAACACCTTCTCCAACTACTCAGGCTTCCAGACTGGCCGTCCCGGGACGTTGCTTGTCAATCAGCCAATCCCGCCCTTAGCCGGGACCAGGATGACCAATGAGCTGTTTGCTAGGACTCGGAGGTGGGGCGTAGGGAGCCGAGCCAGTCCGGCCCCGCCCTAGGCGCCCACGGCTACCTTTCGCTGTCATTGGGCGCACGCGCAGGACCTCGTGAGGGGCGTGTGCTTTCGCGCGGGCCTTGCTTTGGTGCCCTCACTGCTCGGCCCAGGGGAAAAGCTTTCGTGCCCTAAGTTTGTAGGAAGACCCGCGTCCCGAGGCTAGCCTGGACAAAAGCCGCGAGTCTTAAGGCTACCCTAAGCTTTGTCGAGCCCGACGGGGACTGGCGCTCACCCGGCAGTTGTTCCCGGAGCGGGCCTCACATCCGGGATGTGTGTGTCTGTCTGAGGTGCGCCGTGTGGCTCGACGTGAATAAAGCTTTTCCTTTCCTGACCTCAGCTCCACCGTCCGTTCAGTCTGCGTCTTTGCAGCGCGTGCTTTTCACATGCGTGAGTAGTCTCTGCTATCTTTGCAAGCCATCTCGCACGTCCGTGTGGCCGCATTCAGCACGGCAATGTGTGGGAGTGTGATCAACACTGAGAGGTGCCTATCAGTATTTTCCTGCTTTTCTGGAGACTTGCAGGTTCGCGGTCTCTCCTACCCTCCTCCCAGGGTCGTTGATCCTAGAACTGACTGGGCGGTGTTTCTGCCTGTGGGGGCCCTAGGCTCTCGCTAGCTGCCATTGCTTCAGTTCAGTTACTCAACAAGGGCTTGTTAGGTGCCCATTATGACCGTACAAAGATGGTTTCAAAAGCCTGTAACCACACCCTGAGTGAGCCTTCAGTATAACAGGAAGGTGAAAGCCTGTGTAGTCTAATGTCATCGTGGACAAGGGGCCGTCTGTAAGGTGGCTCAGAAAACACTAAAAGTTGGGCCGAGTTCTTGGTGTTAGGCTTGCTGAAAAAGCAAGAACCTCTGAGCCGAAACAGGTGGGCAAATAGTAACGTTTCAAATAAAGGTGGCCTGCTTCTTCTGAAATATTTTGAAGGTCTACTTGCTGCTAATGCTCGCTACCTTTCATCAGCCCGGTTCACATGGTCCTATGTTCTCTTCTACTTTTTTTTTTTTTGGTCTGTCGTGGGGCTTGAACTCTGGGCCTGGGCGCCGTCCCTCAGCTCTTCAGCTCAAGGCGAGCGCTCTACCACTTGAGCCACAGCGCCACTTCCTGTTCTCTTCTACTTTTTAAAAGGAAGTGCCTGAAAGTGTCCAGCAAATGAAGATGAGTTTTGGAGTGGTTTTAATACAATAGTGTTTGAACTCTGGGATGAATGCTCTACCACTTGAGCCACACATCCAGCCTTTTTTGCTTTTTTGTTTTTTTTCTTTCTCAGGCTCTAGTGTTTTTACCTGGGGTCAGCCTTGGACCATGATCCTCCTACATATTTATCCCATGTAGTTGGAATTATATATAGTTGGAATTATGAGCCATTCCATCTAGATTTTTTGGAGACAGGATTCTTACTGTGTAACCCAGGCTGACCTCTAGTTTGTGACCCTCCTGCCTCACCTCTGAGTGCTGAGATTGCAGTTACAGAGCACCACACTCTGTATAAGGCCTATCTTTCCCCCCCCTAACTTCCTACTTCCCTTCCTTTACACTTTCCTTATCCTAAGTGCCCTGGAGTGGCCCTCGACATTTTTGGAATCAGGACGAGATTGAACTTGGGTCATTTCATCTGATTGTGGAATGGCTTCCAAGAATTCTCATAGCCAACATGTATGCTATCTCACTCAAAGCTGTGACACAAATGCTTGCTAAGTTCCTTTCATTAGAACTATGTATCTGGTTAAAAAAAAAAAAAAGAAGACAGTTTTAAATGCTTTCAGCAGAAGTTAATGTAGGGGAGACATCTTCCAATCATCTCACCTCACCCTGGGTCAGTGGGACACATATTAAGCAGTTAAAATACCGTTAAATAATGCTAAGTCACTTTTGTTGATTATTCACTACAAAGAAGTTATCATTCAACAAAGCAGTTTATGAGTATAGTTCATCTTGAACAATGCCACCCCTTCAACATTCTCACCCATTGCTCACAACCCTTACCCTCACTTTTTTAATTTTGTAGGATATACACAGATTTTTTTTTTATATCTGAGATCAGAATTCATTGGTTTTCACCCTACCAACTGAGCCACACTTCCAAGCCCATATATTGAATTTTTTATTGCGTTCTCCCCAACTTTTTCTCTTCATTCACCTACCTTCCACCCCTCTCCCCTTAACATTACCCCCACCCCTTTCAAGTACCCATTTCCTGGTGTTCATTTTGTTGAATCTTTATTTTGCCTTTCCAAGGAATTACACTGTTTGGATCTCTTAATACTAATGATTAGCTTTTATTATAAAAGCCCTTTTTAGTGCTTGTTTTTCCTTTAAATAAGCTAGGATGTTGGGGACCAGGACAATTTGAGTCCCTAATTGAGAGCTGTTAGATCCTACCCTGGTACCCCAACTACCTTGAGTGAAGGTCCATCAGCCTAGCAGACAGACTACACTCTTGCCAGCAACAGGTGCTTTGACACTCCATGGATGCTTTGAGAAAGCTACATGACAGCCATTGATGCTTACTGCCAAAGCACAACTGTAGTTCCTGAAAATACTGTTCCAACCATGAACCAGACTTTGTGTCATCACAAGACTTGGTGAACTGTAGATGACTCTGCAGCTACTTCCACCCAGGCTAGAGTACTTCTCTGGCTCAGCAGAAGGCACATAAGTGGTCCAAACACACTGGCACCCTTGCCATTCCCATTTCTTTTTTATTTTTAATGTTTTTATTGTAAAAAATACTGTACAGAGGGGTTACAGTTACATGAGCAAGGTAATGAGTACATTTCCTATCAAGCATTGTTACCTCCTTTTTTTCCCCTACTATCCCTTCCCTCTCACCTCCACAACTACAACCCCCTCCACCTAAATTGTGAAGTTCATTTTTCAATATAGTGTCTTGTACATCTCATTGTTACAATGGGTCAACCTGTATCCCTATTTAAGCATTGCTATTCCCATTTCTAACTCATAAGCAGATCATTGGGCACCCTGTGTAAATTAGTAGGGAGATATCCTCAGCTATTAGGTACTCACTGGTGTTACAGCATTGGGGGAAATAAAAAGCTTGTCTCCAGTGGTCTTTCCTTGGCTACTTTGGATCTTTATAATTGCTAGAGTGGGCTGAGATGACAAGAAGCAGTAATGGAGTGGTAGCAGCAGAGTGATAGCAATAGTATGTCAAAAGAGTGCCTGGAGAATTCCAGAGAAAAAAGCACACAGGTAGACAATGTGAAGACACAGAAATATGCAGCCATACATGAGATTGGACTGATGCATATGTAAGGCAAGGAACCCAAGATTGTAGGACACCACCAGATGCTGTGCTTGTGGTTGAATCCAGGGCTTCATGCATGCAATTTGCATTGAGCTACATCTTCAGTCTTCATTACATTTATTTGTTTAGTTTTTGCTATATGTGTGAAACTTCCCATAATATCTTTTTTTCTTTTTAGGAATTTTATTTTTTTATTATTAAAAAAAAAAAACATGGAACCACCTTACCCAAGTCAGAATGGCCCACATCCTAAAGTCAGCCAACGACAAATGCTGGAAGGGATACAGAGAAAGAGGAACCCTATTGCATTGCTGGTGGGAATGTATACTAATACAACCAGTTTGAAAAACAGGCTAGAGATAGCTCAGAAAAGTAAATATAGACCTCCCTTATGACCCAGCCACACCACTCCTAGGCATCTACCCTGAGCAACAGGAACCAGTATACAAAGACACATGCACCTCCATGTTTATTGCAGCACTGTTCACAATTGCTAAGATTTGGAAACAACCCAGATACCCCACTACTGAGGAGTAGATCCAAAAATTGTGGTGCCTATATACAATGGAATATTATGCAGCCATTAGAAAGGACAAAATAATGGCAGTTGCAGGGAAATGGATGGAACTAGAGCAGATTATTTTGAGCGCAGTAAGCCAAGAACAAAGAGACAAACGGCACATGGTCTCCATAATATATGGATGCTAAAGCCAAAATACAAGAAGATATGGCAAAGTAATAGGACTCAAGAAACAAAGGACAGCCACCCATTTTGTTATATCATTGCTAAATGACTCCATGTTCTAGACCATATTTATGGTAGATAAATGCACACAACAGAGGGAAGCCAGGAGGAGGATCAGAGTAAGTGGGAATAGCCTACACTAAACAAAAGGAAACAAATGTAAACATCACCTGATGTGTAAAAAAATAACTGTATTGTCAAAGCTCATAGAATTCACAAACTGTATAGACCATGATAATGACAATTTGCCTTGTGAAAGTTAAAATGTGTTTGCGACTCTTAAGTATCACTATTCCACAATACTGTGAAATATGTGAAATTTATACAATCACCTAATCTCAGTTAAAGAAAAAACGTGAGAGAAGGGATGGGTCAAGAGAGATGGGTGACAATGTTGTCAGATACTTTGTACTCATAGACTGTTTTGTAGAATGAGAACTTATTTGTACAACTACTTCAAGATAATTTAAATGGAATGCTTCACAATTTTTTTTCCAGTCATGGGGCTTGAACTTAGGGTTCTTAGCACTGTTTCTGAGATTCTTTTGCTCCACCACTTTGAGCCACAGCTCCACTTCCAGTTTTTAGGTAGTTAATTGGAGATAAAAGTCTCATGGCCTTCCTTTCCCTGGGCTGACTTTGAACTGCAATCCCTAGATCTCAACCTCCTAAGTAGCTAGATTATAGCTGTGAGCCATCAGCGCCCAGCTTCACTAATTTGCATGTTATACTTGCACAGGGGCCATGCTAATATTCTGTATATCACTCCCGGTTTAGTATATGTACTGCCAAAGTGAGCACCACAATAAAATATTTTAAAAGTGAGTTTGAGCAGAAATGACAGTGAATAGAGAAAATGAAGCTGTGAAAAGCTGCAGGTAAGAAACTATTAGCTATGGTCACTAGAAGAGGGTCAAAGAGTTAATAAGCCTTAAGAACCAAGAGTTTCAGACATCCTGAGCACAGGAGGTATAAACACTAGCCATTGTAGGGCTGATGGTCTCAATACCCAGGGCCTAAACAAGAGTTTATAATTCTACAAGGCACAGGCTGGTGCTATTTGCTGCTTTCCACAACTGCTGGAAGCCAAGAATTACAGTAACTACCAAAATTCTGGGACTACTAGTGGTTAAAGCCAAGAGTGCAAAGCTTCCTACCTGAGTTCCACAGCCACAAGTCTGTGCTTATAAAGCTTGGAGAAATAGACCTTTTGCTCTCAAACTGTAACCCTCTAGGTCTGCTCTAGACTTTGGGCACTCAAGGGCCCAGAATTTCCAGCACTGGAAGATCTTTTCCTTACGTACAATTTCTATCTGTCAGAGCTAAAAGACCCCACCCAAATGATTCAGAACAACACATTTTAAATGATAAGTAAGATACTTTTGATATTTCTAGAATAATTTTACATTTACAGAAAATTCCTGTAATCCCTTCAAGTTTTCCCCAATGTTAACATCCTGAATTACCAAAATAGCTAGCTTTGGTACATTGTAATTGCCTGAATGCCAGATTTTATTCAGGTTTCACTAATGTAAAGTTGTCACATTTGAATTTAGTCATTAATTTGAAAGGATGATATCTCCTTAGTCACTTCTGGTCTATGAAAGTTTCCTAATCTTTTCTTGTTCTTATCTTCTCGTAATTACAACAATTAGGAGTAACTGATTAGGCATTTCATAAGAGACTCCTTTATTTGAGGTTATTCTTTTTTTCCATAGATTGGGGTCATAGGGTTTGAGGAAACACCTACCTTATCACGTCATATCAGATATCAACATATTCTGGTGATATTAACCTTGAAAAAGTTGACCATGACCAAGATCATTTATATCCCTTTACTATATTCTCTTTAAAAAAAAAAAAGTCACTCATTTCTCCCTATTCTCAACGGGAATACAAGATTAAACTTTAATTCCTGAAGGGAAATACCTTTATATATTATTTGGAATTTTGTTTGTAAAGTTGATTTTTCTTGTCTTTCTACTTATTTATGTTCAATTATTTATATAGACATGTACATTTTTATGTTGTTATACACACACACACACACACACACACACACACACACACACACACACGTGTGTGTGTGCACGCTGCGGCTGGAGCTTGAATACAAGGTCCTGTGCTCTCTTACTTGGCTTTTCCCCAAGTATGGTGTTCTAGCTCTACTTTTGTTTTTTTTTATTGTTTAATTGGAGATAAGAGTCTAAAAGATGTGTATGCCTAGGCTAGTTTTGAACTGAGATCCTCAGATCTCAGCCTCCTGAGTAGCTAGGATTATAGGTATGAGCCATTAGTGTCCAGCTTATATTATGACTTATGTTTTGCTCAAATTATTTCATCTTGGCCATTGGGAATGCTTTTAAGAGTAGCTCATATTTCTTGGCTTTTTAAAAACTATCTTCTTTTTTTTTTTTTTTTAGGACCACAACATACTCAGGTTCATCTATATTTTCTGCCTTGGCCCAATCATTTCATTATAACCAATCATTTCTCCAGGGGATCCTAGAATGGTATTTAGAAACCAAACACTAAGTATCTAATTTGCTCATTGCTATTCGAATATTTTTCATTATTGTATCTGGTAGCAGACAAGGTGGTAAATATATCACTGCCTTGATTTTCAGTTATTTATTTATATCTCTGTGATAGGTAGTCTCCAGTCACAATAAGATATGCCTCCTGGCACTCATACTCTTGTGTGATTTTTCTCCTTGAGCATGAACTGGACTTTGGGACTTGCTTTTATTGGGCAGACTATAGTAAAAATGAGAGAATATCTTTTCTAGGATAACATTACAAAAAGACTAACTTCCATCTGGCTGGATTGCTTTTGCTTGGTCTCTGCTTTACTCCGTCTGAAAGATGCCAGTATTATACCATGAACTGCCTGAAGAAATGTCCCTCAGGAAGAAACTGAGGGAAGCCTCTGGCCAACAGCTAGTAATGAACCTCTATCCATCAGCCTGTAGGGAACTAAATATTGCTAAAAGCCATGTGACCTGAGCTTGGAACATGATCCAGTCTTACAGGCTTACTGGAGCCTTGGGATGATGGCAGCCCTGGCTGACACCTTGACTGCAGCCTTGTGAAACGCTCAGCTAAGATACACATGGATTTCTGATGTACTGGAACTTGAAGATAATGAAAGATTGTGTTATTTTTTGTAGCAATTTGATAGGAAACAATAGATAACTAATAAAAGTTTTGTCTTCCATGAGATAAATGGTTCTTAAATATCATTCTGGAGCTATTTAGAAATGTATATATATATGTATATACCATATGCACAAGTCCCCTACAATCACTACGGTATTGTTCCTGGATGGGAGAGTTTGGAAATAAAATTTGAAGGTTACAAGGCACTCTTGGGGGATGTTAGAGAAGAAAATGGACTTTTCTTGTCTCTTTAGTGAATTTGATACTGGAGGATTTGACCCAAACAAATGGCTCAGCTTTTCTCTCAGAACCAAGAATAACTGATATTTCATCTATTTGGCATATTTATTAAAGAAAGGAAAATCAATCAGAAGTCTTTCATAGTGTGACCTTGAAAAACTCCTTTGATTTTTCTGTGCCTCTAGATAGATTCCCAGCAGATGAAAAGATTATAACACTTATTTAGACAAAGAGATTTATCCATTATTAGGCATTTTAGACTATAGAAAGTGACAAAGTTAATTATGAGCTTCCTTATAGAGAGTTCAAGAAGAGATTTTCATTAATTTGTGTTGGTAGCCAGTGAGGCTGATTTCTGCTGTAGAAACAATGTGAACTTTGGAGTCAGACAGACTAGTACCTATGCTAATCAGCTGTGTGCCATTAGGCAAGCCAACCAACCCCGCTGGCTCTCAGTTTCCTGATGAGTACAGCAGGAAACAGTAGCCACCTCATAGCCTTGTTACTGATTATGTAATGTTTTTAAATGTTAAGGACAATTCCAGGATTATCACAAAAACCTAAGCCATCACCATGAAGGACAATAGTCAGCTTGTGTACTTGTGACCCAGTGGTTAGAAAAGTAAAAACCAAACAAATGTCCACATTAGTGTTGTTTCTCACATTAGGTTTAATGACACCTCCACTTAACCTGAAAGTCTAAATGGTATCTTCCTATCCACTTAACCTGAAAGTCTAAATGGTATCTTCCTAGAAACAAAGGCCTCTTATTTCTAATTCCATTATTCTCCCCAGTTCTAATTGTCTCTAGAAAATATAACACACTCAAGTAAGCCTCAAGAAGTGTTGTATTAGAATCCAGGAACCCCTTCTGGATAGTAAAACATCTTCCAATGTGGCAATGAGGTATTGATGGATAGTTCCAGGTGGGCAGAATTGATGCTTGAACTCAGAACCTTAAGTTTGTTAGGCAGGTGCTTTGAACCACACTCCTGCCCATATATGTTTTAGTTATTTTTCAGAGAAGGTTTCATGTTTTTGTTCAAGATAAACCTCAGACTAAGATCTACCTATGGCCTCCCATTTAGCTAGGATCACAGGTGTACACCATTTTGCCCAGCTTGGGTGGGGTGTTCACACTTTTTGCCCAGGCTGGCCTCATACTTTAATCCTCCCAATTTCTACTACACAGGCAAAATCTACTGTTCCTTTTGGTCTCATAGCTATTTTAAAGTAGGCTGTGTTTTGGAGAGGCAGGGCTGCAGGACAGCCCAGCCAAGTGGATAATTGAAAAGTCAACATCACCTTACTGGGAGACCAAAGTCAGATAGGCAGGCAGTGCTCATTATTATCAAAGCTCCTTTAATCACTATTTAAGGCAGATATTGTTGGGAGATGGGAAGATTTTAATCTTTTTTACTCATATAAATCTCAAAGCAAAAAAATTCTTTTACCTTGTTGCCTAATGACAAATCCTTGAACTATTTTAATTTCATCATATAGTTTCTTCTGCACCTTGAAACTATTTTATTCTTTTCAGATCACTGACAGAAAGGTCTGTATGTAAAGACCACAGAATAACTAAAATAAAAATAAAAGAGGGCATGGCTCAAGCAACCACAAAATCCTGAGTTCAAACCCAGGGAATAATTTTTTTTTTAAAAAAGATTTCAGAGCCTTTTGAAAATATTCACAATACTATGATCAGATCTTAAACATTATTTCTTCATGTCCCAGTGCCAACTATACATGGCTGTTTTTTTGTTTTGGCTTGTTTTTGCCAGTCCTGGGGCTTGAATTCAGGGCCTGGGCTCTGTCCCTAAGCTTCTTTTGCTCTAGGTTAGCACTTTACCACTTGAGCCACAGCACTACTTCTGGCCTTTTTTGTTTACATGGTAGTGAGGAACGAGACCCAAGGCTTTATGCATGTTAAGCAAGCACTCTACCACTAAGCTACAATCCCAGCCAGACTGTTTTTGTTGTTTTTGCTTTTGTTTTAAATCTAGCTAGATAGCTAAATTGAATCTGTGCTCTTTCTTTCTTTCTTTCTTTCCTTCCTTCCTTCCTTCTTCCCTCTCTCCCTTCCTCCCTCCCTTCATCTCTTCTTTCCTTTTTCTTTCCATGTTCCTACCTACCTTCCTTCCTTTCATTCTCTCTTCCTTTTCTTTCTTCCCTTTTCTTCAATAAAAACTTACCTCACATATTACATCAATGTCCTTCCTTTCTTCTTTCTTCCTTTTTTTATTTCTTCCTTGCCTTTTCTCCAAAAACCTTACCTCACACATTACATTTGTGTCCTTCCTTCCTTCCTTCCTTCCTTCCTCCCTTCTTCCTTCCTTCTTTCCTTCCTTCATTGTGCTTGCTAGGCTGGTACTCTGCCACTTGAGCCACATCTCCAGTCT